ACCTTAAATTATGTAGTGATTCCTCAGTCACTATCTCGAAGTTGGTCTATGAGCAAACTACTGTCAAGTGTCAAGGGGTACGTACAGAGAACACACACAAATTAAAGAAAGAACTAAAACTATTAGATAAGGAGTTTATTAAATTTAGATCTCGACGTAGCGTCACGACTCACAAGCAATCAATCTTAACGTCTCTACGTTATGAGCCTATATACGATGGACTTTCTTGTTTCTGCCTGCAGGTTTATTTCCATCTCGGCTTAATTAGTTTTTCTACCATGCAGCCTTGATTTCCTGCCATAATTTCGTGTTCCAAATTGCCAAAATATCTAATAATTGAAAAACAAAGAAAATTTGGAAGAATATTACAATTGTCAATTTCGTATCGACTTACGTTGCTCTTGTATTTTGTACGTGACAGGTTGGAAGAGTTGTACGCTTAGCATCCTAACTTTTCTAGTTCTCTTTGTTGTAGAATTGGTTGTAAAGCTTTGCTAATCTTTTTCTTACGATATTTAGAGGGTTTGGTTCAGTTAGAATTCTATATGATTATTTATAATTCTTCATTTATTGAAAATTTCTGTCAATTTTCAATTGTTTTTTCCATACGTATTTTTTTTTTCTCGTTATATTTTCTCTAAGGGTCCGTTTGATAGGTAAAGGTGGAAAGAAATTTCAATTCCATTTTAGTTGAAAAATAAAAACCCACCAAATTCATAGGAATTCGTTTTCCATAAGAATAAAGAAAATGCAGTTTAAAGTGGTTGTACCTTGGAATTCGGTTTCCATTTCCACGTTGCAATCAAATAGCCAAAGTGGAATTCGTTTTCCTCGAATGTGACATTTTTCATGAAATTCGTTGCAATCCAACATGGGGTGAATAAAGATCTCGCGGGCAAAGTATGGAAGTCGTCTAAATTCCTACAACAACTTGGAAGACATTGTTAATTATATGAAAGGAGTTTAGCACATAGATAAATGACTAGTGATGGGATATACATAATGATGATTATCTTTAAACGTGGCTAAACCATTATCTTCATAAAAAATTGTGGTTATGATATTAGGAAGAGTGCTTAATGCATAACCGGGCATTAATGGAGTCATCTGTCAGCTTTCTTTTTAAGGTTTAAAAAACATAGATGGTAAAGAATTTGAGGTTTCAATAAGGCCAGTATGCCCAGACCGAGTTGGCATGGCCCACGTACACATGCCGGTCGAGATGGACCCCGGTTGCAACCCATCAACACAAACAGGTCAGCACATAACATCATTTTGAATCGCGATCAAGATGTTGCATGATACTATAGAAACAAAAGACGAGTAACATGTGAGTATGTTACTTAACTCTTATATTCAGAACGAACTCCTTTGTATGTGCCCATTAAACTGTTCTACAAGTCATTGTCTCGAGTTCCATTGCATTTTTTTTTTTTCAATAACTCCTATACGTTAAAATTTTGTCTTATCCATTTGTACATGCCGTGTGAACCACTTTTCTCTATCCATATCAACATTTAGTATAGAGTTTATTATCTCAAAATGCAACTATGAATCTCATGGAGAATTCGATCCTAACTCAAAATGAACAATAACGACATGCTTGACACATGCAAGTCATATAGGAAGTGGTGTTTCCAGTGATGGTCATGTGGTTCTACAAGAATGAGTCTTAAAAGATTATTGAGGGATCACTCCACTTCTTGTTCAAACCCTCTTTGTGGTTTCCCTCGTTATTGTGATGGCAACTAGCGGGCTTGAAAAATGAGCGACGAGAGATTCTCATTTAGGAGCTCCGTAAGCTCATTGATCTTTTTTTTCTTTTCTTTTTTTTTTAAAAAACTTTTTCCACTTTTGACATTAACTACTTTTCCTTTGTCCTTATTGCCCAGGCTTTGATAGTTATTAAGCAATAGAAAAGATTCTTAAATGTATCAGAAGTTGTTTGTGGTTATTGGGTCTTCTGTCGAAAATGAATTTGTTTTTTGGCATAACAGAAATAAAAACACCCAGTCACAAATAGAAAGAGAAGTTCTTTTTTCCTCTATTGCTAAAAAGCAAATTTGATAGGGGTGTCTTTAATTGTCAATATTTTTCATGAAAAACATGTTTTTTCCATCTAATTTCATAATTTTGTACTGTTTGATTGACAATTTTTTCCGCGAAAAATATTTTCCTACTTTTGATCACGTGACCATATTTTCCTTGAAAACAAAGAAAATCACTCTATCTTATCTACCCACCAATAAAAAATGGACATGTATAATATTTTCTATGTTAAAAACTAAATCAAATACATTTAATTAATAATTTTCATACAATAAATTCTAGAAAAATGAATTGCTTGGAATTTATTTTCTTTCCATGCAAATTCCTTACTCGCAATCAAACACACCCTGAGAGAAAAATAAAGTGAAATTTCACGATGACAGATGGTTGATAAAACAGAACGTATAACATGAACCCTTCAAATTCGACAAATCTGACCAATTTGCCAAGACATTGCTTTCATGTCAATGCCGAGCAAATTTCAATTACAAAAATAAAAATTCAAAGCTCATAACAAGTATGCATTCATAAAAAGAGCAAAACGGAGCTACGTTTATTTGCCTATTTTCCAGTCTCTATACGATATGCTGAGAATTGTTTCAGTCCTCCAGTGGTCTTAGATTATGCTCAAATGAAATAGCATTTAGTTTAGGGAACGTTCATTGCATCTAATTTTGTAACTACTGACAATAAAAAGCAGAGACAAAAATGATAGAATTTTGAAAGTAGTGAACGCCTGTGTACATTTTGAAAAGCACGGACAAAACGTAACTTCCTTATAAAGCTCCTCTACAAGAAATAAAAGCAAATGTCCTGCCAAACATGGCCATAATCATTTACTCAACTACTTGTGCTAATTGATATATATGTTATATGGGAATGTATACTTGAGAGCATGATATATGCTCAAGTATACATTACGCCCCTTATTTGGCTTGGCTAAAAAATAAAATTTCTAGAAGATTTTGATAAAAAAAATGCATGAAATGTGTGTTGGAAAAGTTGACAAAAGTCCCGAGTAGGTTTCCCTCGTTATTGTGATGGCAACTAGCGGGCTTGAAAAATGAGCGACGAGAGATTCTCATTTAGGAGCTCCGTAAGCTCATTGATCTTTTTTTTCTTTTCTTTTTTTTTTTTTATACTTTTTCCACTTTTGACATTAACTACTTTTCCTTTGTCCTTATTGCCCAGGCTTTGATAGTTATTAAGCAATAGAAAAGATTCTTAAATATATCAGTAGTTGTTTGTGGTTATTGGGTCTTCTGTCGAAAATGAATTTGTTTTTTGGCATAACAGAAATAAAAACGCCCAGTCACAAATAGAAAGAGAAGTTCTTTTTTCCTCTATTGCTAAAAAGCAAATTTGATAGGGGTGTCTTTAATTGTCAATATTTTTCATGAAAAACATGTTGTTTTCACCTAATTTCATAATTTTGTACTGTTTGATTGACAATTTTTTCCGCGAAAAATATTTTCCTACTTCTGATCACGTGACCATATTTTCCTTGAAAACAAAGAAAACCACTCTTATCTTATCTACCCACCAATAAAAAATAGACATGTATAATATTTTCTATGTTAAAAACTAAATCAAATACATTTAATTAATAATTTCCATACAATAAGTTCTAAAAAATTGAATTGCTTAGAATTTATTTTCTTTCCATGCAAATTCCTTACTCGCAATCAAACACACTCTGAGAGAAAAATAAAGTGGAATTTCACGATGACAAATGGTTGATAAAACAGAACGTATAACATGAACCCTTCAAATTCGACAGATCTGACCAATTTGCCAAGACATTGCTTTCATGTCAATGCCGAGCAAATTTCAATTACAAAAATAAAAATTCAAAGCTCATAACAAGTATTCATTCATAAAAAGAGCAAAATGGAGCTACGTTTATTTGCCTATTTTCCAGTCTCTATACGATATGCTGAGAATTGTTTCAGTCCTCCAGTGGTTTTAGATTATGCTAAAATGAAATAGCATTTAGTTTAGGAAACGTTCCTTGCATCTAATTTTGTAACTACTGTCAATAAAAAGCACAGACAAAAATGATAGAATTTTGAAAGTAGTGAACGCCTGTGTACATTTTGAAAAGTACGGACAAAAGGCAACTTCCTTATAAAGCTCCTCTACAAGAAATAAAAGCAAATGTCCTGCCAAACATGGCCATAATCATTTACTCAACTACTCGTGCTAACTGATATATATGATATATGGGAATGTATACTTGAGCATGATATATGCACAAAAATACTAAATTTATCTAATAAAATCTACAACATTACGCCCCTTATTTGGCTTGGCTAAAAAATAAAATTTCTAGAAGATTTTGATAAAAATGCATAAAATGTGTGTCGGAAAAGTTGACAAAAGTCCCGAGTCCCATGAAATGCGTGGCTAAAATTAATTGTTGACTTTTATTTAAATTTTTATCAAGGTTTTTAGATACACCAAACAGGGGCTAAGATTGCAAAAACCTACAAGATGAGCACAGATACTGCAACTGGCAGCATGTAAACAATCTGCAAGTAAACATGCTTCTCCCAATTATCTTACCACAGGGTACAAAAGCTTGGAGAATAATATTTTGCAAATTGATCGATGTGCATCTTAAATCGAGAAACAAAAAGCATGGCAAATACAAGTTATATGCAGTGAAAAAACTATAATCAGATGCTTCTTATTACTTGATTGAGTTATTAATTGTATCTATCTTCTTATACGGCATAACAAAAGGAAATTATTTCAATTATATTATTACTTTTTTATCGTTCATACACTATAAACACGATTCTACAGCAGGTGCGTGTTTCCAATAGGACAATAACAATTTCAGTCTCAAGATTAATAGCATTGACTTATTGTCTATGCTCACCAGCCTATACAAGTGCAGAGTCAGTCCATCTCTATGTCCTCCATTCCCTGTTCAAGGTTTTTTGATATTATAGAAGCCCAAGTGTTTTCAGCTGCTGAACATGCTCCGGGGGAAGGGGCGGGGGACACCAATCAGATCCAGTCATCTCATCGTCAACATCCTCCACGACATATTCCTGTTGAAACAGAGGTGCTTTCCCAATTAAGATTATCAAATAAGAACTTGAATTGAGAAAGTTACAAAGTAAACATAACAAAGCAAATCTCATTCTTCAAAGTATATGTCTACAACTATACACATTTAAGAATATGTTTCATTCTTTATGTTAACCTGAAAATTGAAGAACTTCTACAACACCTGCTGCTGCGGTTCCCTCATCAGAGCATGAACCAGTAGGAACAAGAAACAGTTAATTACATATTAAATCTGCATTAACACGCGTGCAAATTTAGATATATTCCAGGGTAGAGAATCTGCTTCTTGTAGCTCTTATTAATAAACTTGTGCAAAGAAAGAGATCGGCCAATCGCCATAATCTTGGGTAAACAGCCTCTGGTTTTAAGGAGACCCAGAATTCCAAATAAATTTCTTAGGACTAAGAACTAAGATATCGCAACCCAATTAAGTTTAAAATTACATCGCAGCGTCTGTTGTAACATTACCCAGCAACCTTACAGCTATAAATTAGAGGCCTTCTATTATTGCACACATATATATGGTGCATGTGAGAGAGGATGATGTCTTAAAGACTTCCGAAGTTTTTCAAACAAATATTGTTCATCTAAGAATGCACATAAAAACCGTCATGGCTCGGAAAGCAGTGTAGAAAGAAAGTCAAACACTAATGTTCAGAGCACTTTCTTTTAAGAATGTATCTGGTTCCATCTCTCTTTTATTTAAGTATTTGCTTTGCCTTTGAATAGATTGAAATCTTCTTCCAACTTGATGCACAAATAAGATAGAATAGCAGCTCAAATCAGAGGAGTCAAAAAGACCATATCCCTTTGATTGATAAGGTGGACTGCATACTGCATAGTACTATAAAATAACAAGAAAAGCAGTCCATAACTTGTGCATTGTCCTGTCCAGTCTTGTCTTAAATTGTGTACCCAACATGCTCTATCCTGTCTTGTCCAATATTGTGTACCCAATGTGTTCTAAGAGATTACTCATCAATCATCATACACTTGGATGAAGTGAGTTGACAAATAGTAGGGAGCTTGCACATCTGAATATCTTCACACAAATAGCAGATTGAACTAAATAGTAATACTAAGACGAGGTAATTATTTTCAGGACAGAAATACAAGAATGTAATTCTGACTCACTTTTGTTAGCATTCGTTTTGCTAGTATGTGGTAGTGCCGCTGCCAAATCCTTTGTCCAACCATGGTTGCCACCAAAACGCTGTAGAATATACCGATTACAGTAAATAGTCCCAACACAATTAAAGCCATTATGAATAATAGAGGCAACCCAGCTTCGCCAGCACCTCCCAGGCAACCACATTCACCAGCTGCACTAGCACAACTTTCAAAGCACGTGGTACAATCAGTCCACATACAAAGAGTGCCAGGCAAATGGCAATCAGCACACATTCTGCAAGAATAACATTAGCAAAATTATTTATATTTGGAAGAAAGATCCATGTACGATAATTCATTATTGTCCAGGTGAAAAGGGAAAGCTCCTCAAGATACAAGAAATAGAAGCTACTTTTTTGTGATTTCTCTTTCTATCAAAGAATCCTACGGACATTTGATTCCCGCGTGATGCACTTTGGATAAAAAATGTTTGATAAATTCCAACAGGTTTTGATCAATTCAGAATGTCATATATTTCAAGAATCGAGAAAAATGTTACCTATTAACTCAACATGGTAGTTCGCGGTCGATAAATACTTCAGAACAAAACAAGCAAAAGACTTGAATACAGCTAGGATCAAAAAGAAAATATCGTCTGGGAAAAGCATTTAAATCATATAAGGCTTAATGCCCAGAGTGGAGTTTTCAGCATTTTATAAGATTTAGCTCAAAATGTCACCCTCGGAAAATGAGAGAGATATAGTATCAATGACAGATGAAAGAGACAAAAAAAAATGCATAAAAACTTTTCTAGACTTTCCAAGGAAGAGATAGAATGACCAGAAATATCAGAAGCCACAGAGAAAATATACCCAGGGTGGCAGCAACAAAGACACAATTCTCGACATGGCTGAGCCAAATCATTGCGCATTCTTCTGTCATAACACGTGATGAAGCACCCAGATAAGCCCAGTAATGCGAAAAACATCAGTGCTCCTGCAAAGAGAAAAGGATAATATAATGTTAACATCATTATGACTAAATTTATGAATCAATATACAAGTGAGCATAACAGACATAAATGTTCACCTGATAAGTAGAATGTATTTGCAAGTCTTATATAGAATCTCAAAACCATTTACAACTGTGTACGTGAAGAGAAATGAGGATAGAGGCATAGACAGGAGGAAATGAGATGAGAAGAAAAGCGACCACGTACAACTAGACACAAAAGGAGGCATGAGAAAGGATAAGAGAGGGGAAAGAAGAACCCAAGCAGGAATGAAGTAATTCTTTTCATGGTTGTTTCAGGGGAGGGAAGGAGAGAGAAGAACCAACCTACCTACCTCTGTCCACCCCAAGATCTCTGTTAAGAATATTATAAATTGTATATAATAAGCATGTTTCTATTACAAAGTAAAAGACTCCATTTATAGGGCTATAAATAACTTTAAAAGGAAAGTTTGTGTGATAATCACACAATCAACTATTAAGGAAAATAATCCAACACAATTGGAAAAATATCATGAAAATCATTCTTTACAATATTTTCACATCTTTAACATCCTTCCTCAAACTCANCCTCAAACTCAATATGGTGTAGCAGCAATCAAATTGAGTTTGAAAGATAAATCGATACAATCCAATCTTCAAAATTGCTTGTATGTCAACCAAGCCGAACAAATAACTTAAAGATGATGATAATGAAAAATCATCATCCACCAATATAACCTAACTATCACCAAAACTTGAAGGATAAATCAGATGATAGTCAATTTCAATACGAGTTGGTGAGGAAGAAGGAACACCCATATCTGCTAGTAACCAACGCATCCACTACTAAACCAAAAGGATGCAAATTTCAAATTTCAGCTTGACAAATACCAAATGAACTAGACGCAAATTTCAAATTTCAACTCGACAAATACCAAATAAATTGGATGCAAATTTCAGATACACCGAACCAATACCAAATCAAATTTCAGATGAACTGGACATATACTAAACCAAATTCCAAATGAACTGGACCAAATTCTAGATGAGCTGGACATATACTAAACCAAATTCCAAATAAACTTGACCAAATTCTAGATGAGCTAGACATATACTAAACTAAAGGGATACATCCGAAAAGAAAAAAAGCATTGGTAGCCGGACGAGTGGCTCAAGGCCGCTCGCCTGAAACGAAATTCAAAGGTTAATTTATTTAGAATCGAAACTGCTCCGATACCATGTGAAGAATATTATCAATTGTATATAATAAACTTGTTTCTATTATAAATAACTCTAAAAGGAAAGATTGCATAATAATTATACAATCAATTATTAAGAAAAATAATCCCACATTATGGAAAAAATATCATAGAGATTATTCTTTCCATATGTTCAACAATCTCAAATAATAATAATTAGCTCACATACATAACAATTTTCTTATACACAATTTACAAACAACAGTTCTGAAATTCTTTGAATCGACAATTAATCTTTTGTAGATATTGTAGTAGCAAGCTAGGACCATTGATCATTGATTGCACTATAAGAGCTCTTCTCATGGGCAAGACAAGCAGTTTTCGGAATGCCTTCCAAGTTTCTCAAAATCCAATGAGTTAATTACATTAAGGAGACTGTCTAAAATATCATTGCTATCTAACTGTTTTATGTAAGTGCCAAGGTAGGTCATCCCTAATATGATGCAATATCACCATACAAATCAGGCAACTTAGATAATCACAACTAAATTCAGGGACTGAGAGTTTAGAAAAATAACATCATTACGCTCACAAAGAAACGAAAACATGAACAAATTAAAGCATAAGAAAGAAGAATCCAATCCCAAGATATTTTTACCACATATGTAGTAGAAACTTATTCCACTGTCGAAACCCCAGGCCAGACGAAGCCAAAATTTCTGGTAGCCATCAATAAGATACACCATATATGCCAGTGAAGAAATAACCTGTAACAATGAGGATGGCCCATGGAAATCAGAATAACACTATCAAAACTACTTTTTCTCACACATTTTCTAGCAAGTCTTGGCATAATATCCAATAAAAAGCAGTAAAATATGAATAAAAGAAATGGAAAAGCAAACAAAAAAGCAAGTTTAATGACCTACCAACTGAACAGCAAGAAAGATGAATAAAATATCTCTCGTCACAAAAAATCGAAACTTCAAAGTTCTCCATTTCCTATCAGCAACGACATGGACTCTCAAATGATAAGGAGCCTTGCAAGTCGTGCAATGAGCAAATGCAAACCCTTCCTGAAGAAATGGAAACAAAGATAAAAACAATAAACAAACTTTCACTAGACACATAATTAACTTAATTTTTGTGATACTTGAGGATATTGCATCACTAGCCTTGATAGATATATTCTTAAATCTAATATTCAAACTTGAAGAAGCACATACTCAAATAATAATGAGTACTGCCTTTTGAAGGTTGACCCCTTTTGCTAATAAGTAACATAAGAAATCATGCTCGTCACTGTCAGCATTTTTTCAGATAATTATCAATATAATGAAGAACATGGCAGGCCCCCCCAAAGCTTAAAATTGGGGGGAGGGGTGGGGGGGTCCAATACCTGATTACATTTTCACTTTTATAGATGCTCAACCAACAACCAATGTCACATTATATCTGTCTGAAAAAAATAAGTCAATAGACTAGCTGATGAAGCAAATTCATTTAGCAAATCAGCAGCCTCGCCATTCAAGGTAATTAAGCAAACTGGAATTTTATAATTGAAAGGGAAAACATGTACGAAGGTAAAGTTTTGGCAATAATATATACCCTCACAGCACGCCAATGATCCAGACATTCTCGATGAACGTACTTTGACGTCCCTTTGCACTTGCAAGGTGAAATAAAATCCCTACCTGATAAAGAACAAAAGTTACAAATCTGACAGTCATTATGTTTACATTAACAACTACGCCCTAAGATTATGAATTGTCAGTAGTCAAAATATGGGCTCAACCAATAAATAAATAGAACCTCTTACACCATAATCTCCAGAACATTGGAACTCAATGCCAGCGCAGCAAGTGTGATTACATTAAGGTCAAGAAAATATAACTTATCTACACTAAACATATATGGCTAATATTTATTGTCATTCAGAAAAAAACAGCGGCATTGCAGTAGTTTACAGCATAAACCAAATTTACTGGGCATAGAGTACCAAAGTCTAGCAATCAGGGGAGGATCTCGGAGAGGGCAGACCCGGACCCAGGCCCAGGTCCAGATCCACTATTAAGGTGTGCTAAAAGAAAATTTTATACATTAGCCAAGCCCAAAACCACCCAGCCCCAGTCCAATCCTCCTAACTAGTTAGCCCATTTCCATAACTAGTGGATTGTCAACCCAAATGCATGTGGGTGGATTTTTTATTTTTTTCTGGTTCTTTTCTTTTCTTTTTTCTTTTTTTTTTTTTTGAAGTCTTTGTTTTTGTTTTATGTTAAATCTAGGTACCTACCAACTGAACGTGCTACAGCATTAAGCTTTAAACCTCGAAAATAATCTACAGTGAATTGTTTATGGATGTGAGATTTCTATTTTCAGAACCACTTGAATTATGTTGGATTTGATTTTTGATAGTTTGATTCCAGATAAACTCGGTCAGTCTTCTTCTCGTTAAAACCTAAGCTCACTCCTACATGTATATGTTTGCGTGTTTTTCTATACCTTTTGTTGTCTTTTCTTTTTTATCTTTTAAGTTAATGTAACGTATTAATTATTTGCATATTGAAAGGTGAGACTTATTATGTCCTCTAACTAATTTTTTTTTTTTAAATAAACAAATTTTCTTTGTAAGGTCAAAAACAGCTTTAAAAAAATAAGATTAGCCCCCCTGTGGTTAAATCTTGGCTTTGCCCCTGCTAGCAATGGCCAACTTTCCTTGAGTAAAGAGGAGCATAAACTTTTCAAAGCATCGGTATCCCACAACAAATCTGGACTACTTTATGTAAACAACAATGATGCTACATAATTGTGTACAGATTGGTTTATAGATTGACGATGCAGAAGAGAGAGAGAACGAAATGAAATGATGTCCATTAATACCAAATGCCATGTGGTGAGGGAAAGAACCGATTAGAAGAGAGGGGAAGAGAAAAACAAGAGAGAATGAAATGAAGTCAGTTAATACCATCCACGTCAGCAATTTGTACACCGATAGGTGTATTTTGTACACCTATATAGGTCGTTAAATTAGAGTATTTGTTAGTGATTTGAACGAGTTATAGCTTAATTTTGTGTTAATTATGTTTGTTAGATTGTCAATGCAAATTGGTGAATTTGGAAGAAATGAACGAAAAATGTGCGTAAACGAAGGAAATTCAAAGTTTTGGGACCAATGTGTAAATATAAAATAGTTGATTAAGAGCACAAAATATTTGATCAATTTAATGTAATTGGAGGTCTAATGAATGAAATATAGTGGAAGTATTTTCACATTTCAATTTACAGCAGAAAAAGTTGTACTCCGGATTTTTAGTCTCAACTTGAGACCAATTTTTCAGATAGCAAACATTCGAACCGGAAAAATTGTACTTTTAGAAAAATTGTAGCCCTTTGAATTACCTTACCAATGCATTTTAAATCACCTCAAACGGATATCTGTAGAGAAAATTATAGCCAAAATACTGAAAGTTGCTCATGGACAAACCGAAGCGAACATGCGCGCGCAGGCAGCACGCGCGATAGTTATGCAGGTGCGCGAGCACGTTGCATTTTCTTAAATGAATCAACAGTTTCCTTTCATGATTCAAACTCTTTTGGAACCCAAATTGGACGCGATTTTGACATATTTTAGGCTCTTATAAATAGAGAACGATGGTTACACATTAAAAAAAAAAACCTCTCTTACATCTTCATATACAATAATTTCATGAAATTCATCAAGAACAAGAGGACAATTGCTACATTTTAAGACATGAGATCAACCCCTGACAAGGAATTGAAGGTAAATTACATCAAGATTTCGAAGAATTCAACTCTGGGCTTGAAGATCGCCATCTTTTGATTTATTTCATGATTAGTGAGAAGCATCTGCCCCAGTAAGCCTATATGTTGATGAATGGGGGGTAGCAAACAACATTCTTGAAGACTGGGCTATTCAGGCGATATTTTTCTATTATTCTTTTCATAATTTATATATTAACATGCCACGCTACATCTGTTTTTATATTGGATGAAGATGAACCCTATTGTTTATTTGTTTTAATTCAAGACTAGTTGTTTCGTTTATTTTTTGCGTTCCTTGATTAATTTTGCATACACATTACATTATTTAATTGATTGACTACTAATTAGTTTCTTGTTGTATTGTTGAGAGACTCACAATAAGTTTAGAACGCGGTAAAATTAATATATGTGCAATAAATGTTAGAAATAATATTTATCAAATGTGCAATCATATATAAGATCTAAATTTTAATGCATTCTAATAATTCGAATTTGGGATAGGAATAGATTTGGGTCGTGGTTAGGATAAGCCCCTGTTTGTTTACCATTTTTCAAAAAAATGTTTTCTACAGTAATCAATTTCTACCACACATTCAAATAATAAAATATTGTACACATAAACCGATAAAGTTTCTTTCAATTTCAACCACACATTTTCCAAAAAATACTATTCATTACACCATTTTCTTCTCAATAATGGTTGACAAACAGGCACTTAAATTGCCTTGAAAAGAAAATTATATATGATAACTTTATCGATTGTCAAGAACGTATTAACAAAATTAGATTACAAATCAAAAATTGGAATAGATAACAATAAAGAGATTCGATGTCCAATACAATCATCTAAAAATTGATAAAAAAAACACATTTTTACAGTTTTTTTACATTAATTTAACATAAGATAAAATCAAACTCTCTCATGTTTATATAATTCAAGTCTCATAGAAATCTAATAAACTTGAATTGAATTTATTCCCTATGTGACGATACTCTTAATTCATCAATTCTACTTGTCAACGATCACGTATACTTGTGGGTTTCATACGAACATACATGATTATGTACAAGTAGCATTACTCGTGTAAACAATGATAGCAACAAGCACCATATATGTAAAAAATGACGGTAACAAGAACCCGTAAAGCCAAAAATGGACAAACAAAGGAAATTTATTTCAGAACATAAAAATGAGTGTTAACAAGCTCAATGAGAAAACCGAGAACCTCATGCATATGTCACATCAAATGTTACTTCTTATACACAAACTATCATTAGGTTGCAAAATAAAGTATACTAAAATTAAGTCAACGTTGAAAAACCTGAAATGGAAAAAACATAAGAGGGTTTCAAAAATTACAAATTGGAGTGACTTAATCCCCAAAACATCAGTAAAAACACGCAAATTCGTAATTTACATCCACTTTTAGCAACAATGAATAAAACCCATAACATTTCATACATAATTCCCAAAAAAGCAATCATTTCCCCCAAAAATTTACAATCAATATATCCAAAAACGAAAAACTCAACACAAACGAAAAAAGAGTGAAATTGACAGTAACAGAGAAATCATACCGTCAGTTTCAAGGCAAATTCGGCATTGAATTTGCTCCCCAGGCCCCGCTTCGAGGTCGATCTCCAACGGTTCGTTAATCGGAGGATTCATCAGTGGTGACGAATCAGAGAGATCACCACCCATTTTATTCCACACTTATCTTAACTCACGCTTCTACTAAATCGAACCCTAAAATGGTGAAAAATAATTATTTTAATCCAATTGAGTGATTCAATCATACACAGAGGGGGAAACCCCTTAATTCTCCGCTGACTCTGTGTGTAATTGTGTGTATAAATTAGATAGATGCAAATAAATGTATCTACTGTTTTGGTTTGTTAGAGAGAGTTCTTAGAGGTTTAGATGACACCAGGAAGACGAAAGTACTGCGAAAAACTTTGCAGTGCCGTGTTTGGCAATGCTTTAAAGCAAAAGAACTTAGCCTCTATTTCAGTTAAAAATTAAATTTTGGTAGATTTTAATAAAAATCCGTGAAAATAAAAGTTGACAAAAATTATGAGTTATGTGAAATTAAAAAGTACATTTGGAGAAAGGAATTTTTAAAAATGGGACCACATATAAGCTTATTTTTAAGTGGCTTTTTATTTCTAAAAAAGTAAAAACAGTTTTAAAAAAAGGGGGGTAAAAACAGAAGAAAAAAATTTATATTGTCTGAGCCCGGGTTCGAACCGGGGACCTCTAGTGTGTGAGACTAGCGTGATAACCAACTACACCACCCAGACAATTTTGTTGAAATATTGTCATATTTAGATTAGAATAATAAACCTAATCCTGAATTCGGCTATCAAGATGGGCCATTAATACTGAGGGCCCAATATTTCTTATTTCACCATTGCAAGAAAATAGTAATTAATTATTTTTTGACAAAAAAGAGTAAATAACTGTTTCTTATATTGAAATATTTTTGCAATATATAGAGACACCCAAATAGTTTGATTTCTATGCATCTTAGCAAATTCTTCATTGTTCAAATTTGTATGGGATAGCCACCAAAAAATAAAAGGAAAAAATAACGAAATCTTCTTTTCATTCAAAGGCTACATCAACATTCAATTTGTAGACTACGAGCGCTTTCTATTGAAAAACTTCCTCAACAAAGTCACATATATTGGAAAATTTTATAGTTAAGAGCATTCAATTTGTAAGTCACATGAAACATTTGTATATTGTGTGTATATTTAAATATTGATGCAATATTCAACTGCAATGTGAATGTCGGTACAAGTAAATTACTATGTTTTAGAATTAATAATTTTTTTATTTGGCAAATTCAAAAATAAGTTAATTTACTTCTTTTAAAAGCAAACTTGTCGTTGTCTCTCAAAACTACAAGTAACTTTTATACTTATAAGTAAGAAGAGGAAATATATTCGAACATGTCTGGATATAAATATTTATTTAAAAATAAATTTAAATTACTTTTTTTAAGCTTAGGAAACATTTTCGATAAGTATTATATCACTTTTCTAGTTTTCTTTTGAATTTGGAGGTCTCCCTCCTAAGCAGCATTATATTTCTTGTATCTTTGGAGGGTAAATCTTGTAATTTCATTATAATTGATGAGTCCATTAAGATTAATTTAGGACTAGATTGTCAAAAGGGATTATAATAAAGAAAGCATATGAGACAAATGTATGCCTAAGATTTACTTTTATTTTATTTAAATTTAATATTTATCACCCCCCCTCCCTCCCCCTTCGCAAGTAGGTCGATTCACTTTTGTCAAAGGCCTAACATGTGCACGATTTTCATAAATTGATAGTAATAACTTGAACTTGAAACATTTGCATGCTCTGATACAATATTTGATTTAGAATTTATGATAGTTAATTTGTATGAAGCACATAAATGGATTATTCTCCTTATCGGAATTTGTTAATGCCTGTCATTTTGCCTTGATCCAATGCTTGATTTTCCTTCTCTTTTTCTTTTTTCAAATTATACTCTTTAGCAACAGTTTATATGGCATTGTAAGATATGTTCAATTAAATGTGAAATTGCATGATTTATTTAATTATGCATTTCATTTAATAATTTTTTAGCCCATATTTGGGCTCCATTATAATGAATTTTTGGAAAAATGTATTTTGGAATAGTGATTGTTTTGGAGAATATGTAGTTAGCAAATAAATTTTTTTTAGATTTACGTGTAATATTATTTTATTAAAAATGTTATTGAAAATAAGAGAGTGAAAAATGTATTTTGGAAATAATACAACCCAAACAGGAGCTTAGTGTCATCTAGAATTGTATTGTACCACCAGTGTTGTTAAATAATATTACATTTTTTTTCTTTTTTACTATTTAGCCTATGTTTGAGCCACATTATCTAAAAACTCATTTTTCTCCACATCATTTACAATCACACATTTTCTAAATAAAATAATTTTGCTACTAAACAAAATTTTTTTTTTCTATTTTTTAATCATAATCTCCAAAAAATTGATATTACAAAATCTATTTTTTTTCAAGAAAATGGGGCTCAAACGGAGCTTAAATATGAATGGCAAAAAAACCCGTTTAACCCAATACTTGCGGCTCCGTCCCAATTGAGACGGGGATTATCCACCTAATTGGACAAAAAAGGAGGGGACGGGGGAGGGGGTCGTTACCCCGAAGCAGGTACTGGGCGGATACGAAAAACATAGTCCTGTTCCATTTAAAATTAATTTTAGATTTAATTTTTTTATCAAACAAAAAGAAAAGATTTATATCATGTTCAAAGAAAACATAAGTTGTTTTCAACAAATTGAAAAAAAAAAAGAGTAATAATATTCACTGATTAAAAATATAAAAATAAAAGAAAAAAAAATAAACACGATGATGAATTTCGCCCTGCTTTAGTCGGGTATAGAGGTGAGATAAGGTGATAAAATACCCGATGAGAAGGGGGAGAGAATTGTTGACTCGTCCCATTGTCATTTCTAAGCTTAAAGTTTTGCCATTTTTTTATAGTCTACCCTTGTATTATAATTCAAAGACTATTTATTCTTCTATCAGCATTTGGATTTGTATTTACCATGGAAAATTGTTGTGTTCAAAGGCTAATATATTCTATCTTATGTCTGTCATGTGGAAAACATCAGACGAACGTTATTTCTCCTGGTGGATTGGAGGCTTTCAGCCTTCAGAGATTCTAAAGTTGATGTCATGATGCATACTTCATATCTGAGTCATCCACACTCCTTGTGCTTCATTTCTATTAAACAAAAGCCAAAAAAGGCATATTTTTTGAGATCTGAATAATTTAAGAGCGTAAGATATATACATTGAATTGTGTAGAATCTAATTATACTGTTTATTTCCACCAGTGTGGAGGCAATTTTTATTTATGTTGTATGGGCGTATTGGGCATTAATCTCTCTTTATTAAGTTATCCTAGTTTCCTACACATAAAGATCAGAAAGAGAACCTCGTAATCTCCTAAATCTACTAAATAAACAGTTGCAACGACAAGTAAAAATGGTGAACTACTGTAAATCTGCAATAGCGATTTGATTCTATTTAAAGAACTTAGTTTCATTTCCAAGATTCTCGTTTCATTCTCTTGTACACGAGGCAGGAGTTGGCAATAGCTTTATATCTTTGGACAGGTTCTTTTGCCAACACATCTAGAATCCTTATTTGATCAACTACAATTGGAGGTTTATAACCTTAGACAGTCGTGTCAGCAAGCAAAAGACACATTATCACAGGGAATGGATAAAAATCCGTCAAATTCTCGCAGAAACTGTATGCTGTGGTCGACTGGGTGAAGACAACTACCTCCCACAGATAGGCGCTGCAATGGAGAAGTTGGAAGCTCTACTAAGGTTTGTGAATCAGGTAATTCTGCTTGCTCATTTATAAAGCTTATAGTGAATTATTATGATTTCTCCTTTCCTCTGTTGGTTGTAGTAGCATGAATCGATCCAATTGCTTAAAAAAAAAATTCTTATTATTTTCTTCCTCAAAACAGCCAGATCATCTTCGTTGAGAAACCTGCAGCAGATATCTCAGATTCTTAACATCCACCAAGCCGCTCGAGGCCTCCTTGCCTTGGGAGAGTACTTTCAGTGTCTTCGAGCTTTAAGTTCACTTTGGGCGAGGTCCTCATAACCTGCTTACTTACACCAAACCTTGTTGCATCTCTTATAACATAGAAAGGAGAATTGAACAAAGCTCAAACTGTTTTCACAAAGAAAAAGAAGTTAAAATATCGTTCTACCAAATATGTACTTAATAATATTATGTTCACGTTTGCAACGCACTATAGTGCATGTTGTGATCCTTAGTCAAAGTTTTGTGAGTGTTCTTTTATTGAGAAGCAATAGAAGTTGGGGAAGCAAATACCTATGTTCATTTACTGCATTTCATGTCATTCATACGCTGTTCCTGTTCTTCATTTACTTGGAGAAATCCGAGTGTTGGGAGGTTCAATAAGTGGGCAACTTAGTGCCTAGCAGGCGAAAAAATTACTGCTGGAAAAAGTTCGCATCTCATCTATGTTCGGTGTAGTATACATATCAACTTATACTCACAAATTATAAAGAAAAGCTAAATCGCAAAAACTTGACCATACATAACAAACTCAAACAATATATATAACTCCATCTACGTCTACGTGGAATTTTTTGACTTCCACCTAGCTTTCTATTGAAAATGCTCATGTATTCCTGTAAGATCACTGTTCTCCAGCACAAAAGAGCAACAAGAAAGCGAGAATAAACAATATGAAAAAAAAAATGCAAAATTTTGAATGCCAAGAAAGCAAAAACAATCAATACCAAAGAAATGAACAAGTTAATATTGTTGTGGACAAATAAAAGAATACTGACTAGTTAATAGGATATTAATAATGTAACATTCTCAATGCCTTCGATCATTTTACAAATCAAAATCAAGTTTAAAAGAAAGAAGATTGGCTTAAGAGGAAAGTTAGCATGACAAAATAAAACATATTAATGTTACAAGTACTAAAACATATTCCAAGATACCACCTCAGCAATTCCATCATCTAAAGATCCATCTTTGGATTAGTAGCAGGTTCTCGGATGCACATGTTTGAGACTAAAATTAGCATGTTCAAAAACATTCATACATATGATCTCGAAACATTTGTACCTGTGGCAAAAGAACAGAGGAAACTCATAAGGGGCAAAGTGAGTACAGAGGCTTGAGTTCATATCTAAAGAAAGAAAAACATTAAGCTCAGGTATATGGTGGGATTAAAATCAACTTTTTGCTAAATTTTGATAGAAGTCGATGAAATGTATGGATGAAAAGCTGTGGGACCCATAAGATAAGTGGTTGAAATAAATTGTTGACTTTGACTTAGAGTAAAATCTAGATTTTAATCGGTATCAAATAGGAGCTAAACTAAGTATCCTTCCAACAAATTGAGGTCGGATAGGTAGAGCCCTTAAGAGTCATGCTCAAGGGCAGTTAGTGAAGCAACGAGAGGGGGGAAAGGGTATTACATGTTAACTAATAGTATAGGGAATGCACTGACTGGACCTAAGGTTGTAGGCAAGACGATCAGTCAGTAGCCAAGGGCTAAGCCGAAGTCAACTACAAGAATCCTTTTACGCGTTCGGTTCAATTCCAGATCTATTGGAAGATTTAAGCAACTACAACATGCCAAATTAGTTATGGTCTATCCTTCCCTATTCTCACTCATTTGACCGAGAAAACTTCACTCTTATGAATGGGAGTTTCGTTAAATCTACGCAAAACATGTTTCAAGCATCTAAGTTGATAGTCCTTTATTTATCCTCAATCAACACAGCCTCCAATCGTGTAACTACAAGTCATAAAACCCATGAGACCTGCTTCTTTGATATTGATATGTCTGATAAATGAATTTCAAGTCCACTCATGTTTACTCACAACTGAAATGGTCTCAACCACATCTCATATCATTAAATTTACTATGAGATTTACATTTTCATGTTAGAAGGCTTTGTGTCAACATCAGATGTAAGTAATTTGGAGTGTGCCCAAGATATCCACTATAAGTCTGTAATTCTACTCAATTTATGAATTCTCTCTTCATCAATAAGTGATTTCATTCATTCCCACCTATATGCAAAAGAATGTACTTAACATGAATCTTATTTATGATGTCACATAAATTAATTATGCATAAAAATGAATTTATTTTTAATCATTTTTATTTCAAGAATTAGAAATTCAAAAACTAAGGACATGTTCTCTTTACTATTTTCAAGTCGTTTTCTGTTTTCGATTTTCCAAAATAGTGAAAACGCGTTCTCTTTTCTATTTTCGAAAACGCATTTTTAAAAACAGGTTAAAAATTTACAAAGAAAACCCAAAACGCATGTTTTCAGTTATAATCAAGTCAAAATTTTCAAAACGCGTTTTGAGTGTTTTCAAAACAATTTTTCAAAATGTTAAAAAGAACACATTTTCAACAATATCAAAATGGACACTCAAAACACAAAACCCAAAATGAATTCAAAACTCAAAACACAAAACTGAAATACAAAGAGAACAGCCCCTAAAAGTTCCAACTTGAAGAAAGTTGAACCAAAACGTAGTCTTTATACATCTGCTCAAGAATGTAAAACACAAGAATCTCAAGTATCTCGTCAAAATTGTTAAGTTGTCTAATTTAATTATTTTTAGATCCAACTCGAAGACATGTTAATACACAGGAGATATTGATGAACTCAGAGAAATTGAAAACTCATTGCAAGAAATTTCTTTCCAGTAGCAAAGACAGATGATCATAAGCTTGATGATTTGCTTCTCATTGTCATTCTTGTTATAACCTTAATTAAACAAGAATATCAAGAGAATATCCACAGAAAGCCCCAATTTCTTCTGAAATCATCTAATCTTCACAATACAGCATGAGTACGACCATATATTGGTATTTCTGAAATGTCTCTAAGTTATAGTATACACACAAGCACATGCATGTACAAACACAAGATATTCCACTTACATTTTATTGATGGAAGAAAGGGTATTCCAGTCAGTTAATCTCACCAAATTTCTGATATTATTTAAGCTGAATTCTGAACCAGGTTCAAATAGCTTTTGTCTAAAGACTTTCCTTATTAACATTCTTTGTACAAGTCGACTTCCAATTCAGTATGATGATTCTGAATTATCATATCATATTATCTTTCATTCAAGAGTTAGTGACCTATACATACACTACATTGTCATTACCAGGAACACAAACAGAAAGATAACAAAAGAAATCCCAGGTGAAGAAACTTTAGAGAGTGATGAAATTCTTGGAACCAATAAAAAGGGTACTTTCAAAAAATCTAATGACAAAGAGAAGAAAAGGAGATTTTGTTCTTTATTTTGAAAGGAAAGTGGAAGGGATAATTGGAAATTTAAGTTGGAGTTAAAAAATTACTCTTCAATCCTCCACAAATGCACGTTAAATACTGTGGCTTTAGTGATGATAGATTACATGGAAAAAAGCTATAAACTATATACATACCATAAGGATTGGGAACCAAATTAGGCGAGTAGTCTGCAAGATAGTATTGGATCGACCAAGATTGGCTTTCACAGGGAAAGCTGTTCTCAGACCTCAGCATAGACACGGATAGATAAAATGAGTGCACCGAATACATATGAGATCCATCCAGACATCCACCTATGCCTTTGCATGGTCTGTCTGTCTGCTTGAACCATCTGTCTTTCTATTTGACTTTTGGTTTTCACGTGAAGACCCAATGGCACCCAAAGCATCGAGGAAAAACCTTTTGTTTGGGATAATGCCATCTCTGTCCATACAGGTCAACAATTTCTGTAGTGGTTCCTTCATGTCAGCTTTAGTATAGGCTTTGTAAAGAAGTTTATAAGTGGAGGAATCGATGGGAAACAGTCTTGAAGTATGTGCACTCTCAAAAAGCATGTCGGCTTCCATAGGCAAGCCATTCATGCAATAGACATCAAGCATCGCATTCAATGTCGAGACCTTTTTCTCCTCAGATTCAACCACCTGCTGAAATATCTCTCTTGCCCGTGAAACATAGTCACAGTAGCCATACATCGTAATAAGACACTCATATGTGATGAAGTTTGGTTTGTATCCCATATCAATCATTTTCTGGAAAGCTAACTCCGCTTTCTCCCTGAGACGTGCTTTTCCATAGTTTGTGATCATAGAATTGAATGTAGGAAGTGTTGGTTTGTGCTTGGAACGCAGCAAGCTCTTGAAAACTTGTTCCATCTTTTCAAATTCCTGCTTCCTCCCATAGGAATCAATCAATAAATTAAATGTGATGATGTCTGGCTTCAACTGATTGCTCTTCATAATAGAAAGCACAGACTCCATTTCCCTTATCATCCCATTTTTTCCATAGGCATCCATCACACCGTTAAATGTGTAGATATCTGGGGTCACAATGCTCTCATTCAGATCTTTAAACAAAACATTAACCTGATCAACATTTTTTGCCTGAGCAAAAGCTCGCAAAAGAATGTTATATGTCACAACACTGGGTTTACAACGCTCCATTCCCTTCATCTTGTCGAAGTACCCCAGAGCCTTGGCCAACGCCTTGGATTTATCCCGGGAGTGAAGGTGGGCAGTGATCAGTGCATTGTAGACTGACGTATCAGGCCTACAACCACTATTACGCATCTCAGAAAAAAGCCACATGGCCATCCGAGTTTGGCCCTTTTTTCCCATAACTGATATCAACTTAGAATATACCCCATTATCCGCTATGTACCACCGTTGTTTTTGCATCCATCTGAACACCTGAATGTTAGAGATATTAGTGAAGAAGGCCTTTATCCCAACAGCAAGTTCCACTGGATTTGCATTTATATTAGAATTGTATATATGTGATTAAGGCAGCAGTAATAATAGATTTCTTAGTTAATCTTCATGACATTTAACAAAAGTTTGCATCTTTTATCAAGCATACTCGCATATGACAAACCACCACATACCCATATAGGCACTCACATTGACAAGCATATTTTGATATATAACAAAATCATACATGCTCGAGCACATGAATAAAATTCATGCCCTAAAGAACAGATGCCACGATAAGAAATAATTGTGAACAAATTAAAATATGCCATTGAAAAGACCTAGGTGAAAAAATGCATAATATCATCTGTTGTAGATAAAATTACAAAGATAAAGCTCGAGAGATCAGAATTTCTATCTTAGTCTAAAAGAACTCTGATTCTCCTGTGCTAATATAAATCTTAACTGTCCAATTCTATTAAGTAGCACTCTGCTCATACAAGTTACAACGAGAGCATTCCTGGCCCCCTTCTACAGTCACCTTCAGCGTTCTCAGAATTACATTGTAAGACAGTTGTCCATTGTCAAAAAAAAATGACATGAAATTCTATGGTTTGTAAAGGGCATGGCCACAGGCCAACAAAAGTGTCAAATGGCTAAAGTTCAAAATTCCATCTAAAGTGCTAAAATCAAAGAAAAATACAATCCCTAAGATTACTAGAATGGATGGTAATCAAGAATTTCTGTAAATGTACGAAAAATTCGAAAATGATGGGGAAAAAAATGAAATCATTGACGAGGGGCCAAACCTCAAGGCATTGCAGCCATTTATCATTCTTCCCAAGCTCTTCAAAGAGCATGAAACAATGTTCAGTTCTCAAAAACTTGGCATACTTATCCAGAGTAGTCACCAATGGTTTTTTCTCTCTGAAATTTCTCAAGACTGAACGAACCAGCTCCTCCGCTTCGGAAGATGAAGAATTCTTTTTAGGGGTCTTTTTCGGGCCCAGATTGTTTCTGTGTCGGGTTGGAACGCACATGGAAACGGGTCTGGTTCTTGGAAGTGGACATGCGTGTGGAGTGAGAGCATGATTTGGTGAAGAAAAGATGACGAATTTGGATGTGGGGGAGAGATGCAGGGAGTTAGATGGGAACGTCAAGGAAGTCAGGGTCATTCCGGGAATTTAATAATACGGTGGTGTAAGTGGTGGTGGGTTTTGAGAGGCGGAGCAACCCTTTGGGGAGAAGAAAAGAGTGAGTAAATTGTTTTATTAGCCACTGAACTTTCATACATGTCACGGTTTACCCACTCACCTTTAAAATTTATACCACTGGCCACTCAACTTTAAATCGTCCCACTCCGTTGGCCACGGGATCAAAACCGTTAGTAACGTTGTTCACGTGGCTGATGGAAAGATGACGTGCACATTAATTCCACGTCAATGCCATGTGTGCAAGTGGATTACTCACCGAATTTTGCTCCATGTCACGGATTACTTACCGAACTTTGCTCCATGTCGCGGATTACCCACTGAACTTTGCTATATGTCACGGATTACTCACCGAACTTTGTTCTATATCACGGTTTACTCACCGAACTTCAAAAATTGTCCCGTTGGCCACCGAACTTCACTCTATCCAACTCCATCACTCACACAATTAAGATGATGTTTGACGGGGATTAAAATTGAATGTTTTGGTAGATTGTGATAGAAGTTTTTGAAATATGTGGTTGAAAAGTTGCGGGACACATGAAATGGTTAGAGACGCATTTTGTCATATTTAATCAAAGCGAGATTCAATTATATTATGAAATGCGTGTTTGGTAGTGATGATTAGGGTTGGGCAAAAAGTCCGAACCGAATCGAATCCGAACCAAACCAAACCGAAAGGTTTTCTTAAATTAAATACCCGAACGAGTATCTGAATCAAGAATTGATGAGTTCGGTTCGGTTACCTATTCTAGACCAAGAACTGAATAAGAACCGAATTTCTCTGAATTTTTAAATTTTTTTATATTGTATAAATCAAATTATTTCAATTTTTTCTACACAAATTAACTAATTAGGTAATTAATGCTCCAACTTCCAAACTTTTGTTTAGAAAAAATTAAAATAATTTGATTTATCCAATATAAAAAAATTAAAAAATTCAGTGAGATTCGGTTCTTCTTCGGTTCTTGGTCTAGAATAGGTAACCGAACCGAAAGATACTCGTTCGGATATTTAATTTAAGAAAACCACTCGGTTTGGTTTGTTCGGATCCGATTCGGTTCGAACTTTTTACCCAACCCTAATCATCACTACCAAACACGCATTTCATAATATAATTGAATCTCGCTTTGATTAAATATGACAAAATGCGTCTCTAACCATTTCATGTGTCCTGCAACTTTTCAACCACATATTTCAAAAACTTCTATCACAATCTACCAAAAAATTCAATTTTAATCCCCGTCAAACATCATCTTAATTTGGGTGAGTGATGAAGTTGGATAGAGTGAAGTTCGGTGGCCAACGGGACAATTTTGGAAGTTCGGTGAGTAAACCGTGACATAGAACAAAGTTCGGTGAGTAATCCGTGACATATAGCAAAGTTCAGTGGGTAATCCGCGACATGGAGCAAAGTTCGGTGAGTAATCCACTTGCACACATGGCATTGACGTGGAATTTAACGTGCCACGTCATCTTTCCATCAGCCACGTGGACAACGTTACTAACGGTTTTGATCCAGTGGCCAACGGAGTGGGACGGTTTAAAGTTGAGTGGCCAGTGGGATAAGTTTTAAAGGTGAGTGGGTAAACTGTGACATGTATGAAGTTCAGTGGCTAATGAAACAATTAACTCGAAAAGAGTAGACTGTAGTGGCTGAGCAACGTTTTGGGAAAATAGCGGTCAGATCCCTAAACGTTCATAAGAAATTCACTTCAGTCGACAAATTTTAAAAATTATGAGTTTTATCGCCAAATTTTTGTTTTGTTTGCAGCATACTGGTCCAACAGAAGGAATTTGTCAAAATAAAATTGTCAAAATTTCGAGATTCTTGTTTGGTCACCATTATTTTCAAAATTCATTTTTTTTCTTATTTTCAACCACACATTTTTCAATATAATAATATTATACATCCAAATTTTCTTATTTTTGCTATACATTGTCCATCTAAATATTATTCAAAAATGCATTTTGGGCAAAAAGGTGGGGCTCAAACGGGTGCCAAAAATAAACATATCTTTGACTTATCTAATCCTTTTGGGAGGATGGGACCAAATTGTATATCGGGTGAAAGTTTGGGGACATATTCATGCTGTTTTCCCTTTTCTTTTCTTGCAAATAATTATGCGACTCCATTAAACGGTGGAGGTTATTGGAGAGAAGAATATCGAAACGACAAAAAAGGGAGGAGTAAAAAGTAGGGAATTGAATTGACATGAAACGAACACGCAACCATTTGATCTTGAGTCAGACGCGCTACCATTGCGCCACGGATCCATGAGATTGTAGAACATTTGTATTATTATATATTCATATTGTTAAAAATGATACAAACCCCCCTCGAGAAAAAAACGTCCACACACGTTGAAACCATTGGTTTGATTTTACTTAATTTTGGTTTAGATGGTTATAATACACTAGAAACCAAATTGAATCATGGTTTTATCCAATATATATTATTTATTAGATCAATTTGTATCTAAAAAGATTAACTGATAGTTGGCTTCTACGGATTCTTTAGAAAAACAATGATTTGATAAGATAATATTTTATTATTTAAACAATGAAATCGCAAAGTTAAATTTCATGGTTGAATTTATATTAATTTATTACTTAAGCTTGTATCGAGACAAATTTATTGTGGGTAGCGCTATTTTCGTTCACACTTTTTATATGTAAATCTACTTTTAAAAATAAAATTTTATTATATTTTAAATCCTATGTAAATTTACTTAAATGGACATAAATAAAAATACATAACTCTAAATTCATCCAATAATTTTTATTGTCATTAAATTATCCTAAATCTTTTTATATTCTCTTAGAATTTGTGTTTAACTAAAATCAGAGAAAATTACTTGAATATGTTCGAAGCATTCTAATACTCAAAACTTCAATACATAAAGAATTTAGTAAACAATGGAAGAGACTCCGTTAGAGCAAATATATACAAACATAGCAATATATGAAGAGGAATTTGAAAAAGTAAGGATTATTTCATTATTGTGTTTTGTTGTTTGATTTTTTTTTTATTTTTTTCCTAACGCGTTAAGACATTAATGGGTTTTAGCGGCGTTCTCGTGATATCGTGATTGAATTTGGGCGCTCTGATTTTCTTTTCTTTGTTTACGATTATCTTCTAATTGGATGATTAACGGTTGAAAGTATGTATCGAGTTTATGGCATATAGTGGCCATTAATGGCGACAAAGCCTACTCGAGTGGGCCAAAAAAAGTTAAATCCTAGAATACCTGTCCACTCAACGAGTCAACTCAGTAGGGTTCGTCAACTAATATTTGGTGCATTATACGAGTTGGATAAAGATATATATACGAGTTTGGGCAACTTGTGGGTTTGCCAATCTTGAGCGTGTTTGGTATACTCAATGTCTCTGTTGTCTTTTTATCTATACAATTCTTTTTTTTTTTCTCTCTCACTCTCAATTGTAGTGGATTTCTTCACAAGTATTTGGAAAAGTTCCAATTCATCAGCTATTTCGCATACTTACCTGATGTTTTAATTGTTATCTTATTTATTTTTGAATTTATGTCATTGACATTATTTGATACTATACTTTTAATGTAGGATACATCAACACATAGAATGGGATATATATAAAATTCATGTGGGTATATTTAAAATTCAAGTTTTATCAACTGGGAAAGAGATTTCAATTTAAAGTAGGATAAATATATAAAATTCATGTGGATATACAGTGTTAGGGATCTAAAATTTAAAATACTATTTTTTTTAATTTTAAAATTTTAATATAAATGAACTTAGATTGTGATAGATATATAAAAAATGTGGAAGAAAATAGTGGTACCCTATTTTAATATTGAGAAATGCTATTCATTCCCATTGGGGATACATCCCTAGTCTATGTAGAGTTAATGTGACATTAAATGATAGGTGAAATTAAGTAAGTCATCTAATTTCACCTATCATTTAACCAATCNAGGTGAAGATATTAATGCAACCTTTTAGTCCTTTTTTATTTTTATTTTGTACTGTTGAAGAACTAGTTTACTATTGATGTGCACTGTTCTCAAGTATAAATAATTTTTCCACCAACGATTTATTCATTTTCTAAACCCTAGCAGACTCTCCAAAAGCTTCTCTTGCTTCTTGCGATTCGTTATCTCTTCCCATGTCGTAATCTTCGTGCGACATATGTGGCTGATTCCAGGGAAACCCTTCCGCTGTCTTTCTTCTCCATTTCCTCTCTGTTCCTTCTCCTAGGTATGTCTGTATTCAGGGAATTTGTTTATTCGTTTGTACAATCAATTGGAGCCAGGTATTTTACAAGTGGAGCAAACAAATACCTCTACCACTGAAAATATCAAGCAACCTTTCGTGATTGGTATGGGCTAGAACTATCATAATAAAAGTCCTATTTTCTTGTTAAAAATGCCGAAACTGAAATAATATGCTAGAGAGAAATGAATTCTGGTACTGTAATATGATGCTCCAGCATGTTAGTAATTACAACCAAACCAATCATAATATTCTGTTTACCAACACCTGGTTCTTTGAACTCTGAACTTCTCTTTGGGAATATCATAATAAATCTGGGTTATCTTGATAGTGTTAAATCTTTATTTATGTGAATTTCGGATATATAATCTTTAAATAAATTATTTATGCTTTTGGTCATTTCCTCTGCTATTATCGGAAAAATATCATGTACATATTTTTCCTCTTAATAATTTAAGTTTCATATTCTGTTTTTAATTTCGCAGAAGCTGCTGGAGGTGCAACTTCTAGGAAGACTACAGTTTGTGATATGATTATTGAGCAACTACTCGATCACCGTGTTGTACCAGAAGTTCCTGCATGACCTTTTGCTTTAATTCCGTTAAAATAAACAATTTTCCATAACCACCCTAAAAAATTGTTTTTAGAATTCTTCAATAACATATTTCCATTAAATTTGATTATACAGACATGTTAACAATCACTTGGATGATGAAAAATATGCCCAAAATCTCAAATTAGCACGACAAATATCTATCCCTCCCCCATTTGTTTGTATATATGGTATCTATTCTTATTTATGTGAAATTTTGTTCTGCATATAATGTTGGAGGGATAAAAACAAGAATAAAAGGTTTTGTCAGATTTAATTAATTTGGTTTTTTCCTCCTCTTAGGTTCATTTTGAACTTCAATTGCACTGGTTTTTGTCCATCATAACAGGTACTGTACATTTATATACTCTCTCTCTCACTTTGTTCTCTGCATAAAACCCCCAAAATTTCCCCCAAAATATGGAATCCTTAGACGACCCACACAAACTCTGAATCAATTCTAAAGGGTGTTATGTGAATAACTTGTGATATCTAAACAGTACCTCTTCACCACACTTATTTAATTATGAAATTTATTGTTTACATTTCCTAACTGCACTTTTAATGCTACAAAACCTCCAGGTAGCGGTTGGTGACGTTATATACATTGAAGCAAATAGTGGAGCAGTTAAAAGGGTAGGAAGGAGTGATGCTTTTGCAACAGAATTTGATCTCGAGGCAGAAGATTATGCACCACTTCCTAAAGGAGAGGTTCACAAAAAGAAGGAGATAGTCCATGTGTGACTGTCTTCTGCAATATAGTTTTGTTTAATTTTTTGTAGTGCTAATTGTTACTTTTAAATAAGTTGGAAGTCCACACCCAAAAAGAATTTTGTTCATATCCCAATTCCTCAGGTAGGTTTACTTCTACTTCAGGTGTTTTGCGCATTGTATAGACAATATCATTAAATCGTTACTTTCATCATATGTGTGATATTAGTTGGGATTCTGGATTGCAGCCTGCGCATAATTTGATTTTTTAAACATTTTTGATTCTTAGTAGATCAAAATTTGTCCTATCTTGCATGTGCTAGGCTTGCCCCCGTCTAGATTTTATATGAACATATGATTTGTTGCATTAGTTTAATTTATGTAGTTCCTGCTTATATCATGTTTATTCCTTTTATCATATGGAGAATGTTAAACCGCTTGATCTAAAAACTTAAGCTGTTACATTGGGTCAAATGTATATCATTAAAATATTATCTTCAACACACTTTTCCATCGAAGTCTATGTGACGGTGAGATTTGAACTCAAGACCTTTGTGTGCTCTGATACCACGTTGAGCCACTGGATCTAAAAGCTTAAGTTAGTGGACAGGGTCAAATGTATGTATTTATATATTATCTTCAACAGAATTCTTATAAGTTATCTGTTATGGCTTTTGTTGCGTAAGATATTAGAGGGCTGAAGTTATATGTCATAACATATTTTCGGGATAGTACGTGGTGATTCTCGTAATAGGTTTTACTACGTGGGTGTTGTTTCATCATGAGAATAAATGCATAGAGGGAGGAGGTAAGGCTTCAAAATTTTATTGAACATCCAGTTAGCTTATGTAAATATTTCTACCTTGTCAGGATGTTACATTACATGATCTTGATGCTGCAAATGCACGACCTCGAGGTGGGCAAGATATATTGTCCCTGATGGGTCAGATGATGAAGCCCAGGAAAACAGAGATTACTGACAAGCTACGGCAAGAAATAAATAAGGTACATATATCATGTTTCAATGGAACTCTTATCATATACTTTCTATGGTTGTGATGTCACATCTTATAGAAGAATCATGAAACGGCTATAGATTATGTCTAGGAACAACTTCTGGATTATCAGAAACTGTATTATTGTAGATTTTTCAAATCATTGTGCCCTTATACAATTAATTGATCGCATGTTGTTAACCGCTATATAGATGAAGGTGTAGCAGAACTTGTTCCTGGTGTATTATTTATCGATGAGGTATTTCTTTCCTTATAAACCCATACATTTAGATCCTTGAATTGTATGCAGATGTCTTTCCTCAAAACACTAAGCTTAACTTAGGTACATATGTTAGAGAGTTCATTATCTCCTATTGTAATTTTTGCGACAAACCGGGGAATTTGTAATGTCAGGTACAGTGATGTACTTTTGCCATTTGCTTAAATACTTTTTGGTTATCTTAAAATTTTAAAGCGAAGAGGAAGTCCCAGTCGTTTCACCTTCTATTAAGTGTTGAGATATGTTTTTCTTGAAATTACCCCCACCCCCTAATTCCCACAGCAATCAAAAAAAAAAAGAAAAAAGAAAAAAGAAAACGAAGAAGAGAATTAAATTAACAATATCTTAGTGAAATCAGTGAACTGCTGGGTATAAAATGTTGAAGATTGCAGTATAAAACCATTGTATCTTTGGATTTTATTTCTTATTTATTTGTTGCAACACTTATAAGTGAATTATATGTTTATATCCTATCATATGCAAATGAAGTATGGATCTATAAAAAGTAAGAGGCTTCAATCAGGTCAAGAAAAGAAAATTTTGGTGGCTGAACGGTAACTTCTGGGAATGGCTGTGTTGTGTGTATTGAAAATCAAGGATTGACTGAGTAGTTATAGACTCAGAATGATTGTTCTAACAGTATAAGAAATAGGTTTCTGATTAGGTTTAGAAGTAGAGGCAATGTAGTAATCTCCTATAGTGTTACTATAATATAATGCTCAAGAGAATTATTTATTTGATTCCCCAATTTTCCTCCATCACTATCAATTTTTTTCTCATCCTCCACTTGCAATGCTGCGTTCTCCTTCCTCTTCCCCTTCCCCCTCTTCTATGTCTGAAAGCATAAAAAACAAAACAAAATTTCTCATTAATGCTCTAAGCTATAAAGGAAATAACTCAAAAACTTGAAGCCGGTAATAAAATGCCCAAAAAAGGCAACACAAGTGAGTAACCTCATCCACTCTGAAGCATAAGCCTCAGTAGGTTGAGTTGGCACTCAAGGGGCGGGCTTCGAAGTGTTTTATAATAGCCTTATGTGAGGCTTACGCCTCAAAACGCTTTTTTAGACGATGTACTAGAAATCTGCTAACAAATTATTTTTAAAACCAAATCATAGTTTGCCAAAGACTTGAGTAACAATGAAAGCTTATGGACTAAAATTACTGCACATTACAAATTACCAAGAGTTCCTCTACTCCTGAACTTAAATAAAAGACCAAAAAGTCTTTAACTTTCTGCATTCAAACATTGACCAATCGCGCTGATGGCTTCTGCATCTCTTATCCCTGCCCTTGGAAAAGGGTCTTCTGCTACTGTACTAGAAACAGTAGCAATCCATTTGGAAGTGTTACCACAAAAATGACTCCTAGCATGTTTCACAAGTTTTTAAAGAAAACATTTTAGCAGTTCTATCGCGTGAGTCCACACACCATAAAAACAGAACTCCTGTGTTTGTGCTTTGTACAATTACTTTCTGTTCGAAAACATAGAACAATCAAATAAATATTGTTTTGTTAAGTACTGTTCACTGGTTTTCCTCTGGGGAATGTTGAAACTAGCACTTATTTTGTTTTATGACCTAGAAACTAAATACATTTTGTGTGTTTGATGATGGTGGAATTACTTGAATAAATGATCAATACTTGTGACTCTGTGCGGTAATTTGTTCTGTGTGAATTAACTTCATGAGGTTTGGCCACTGATCTGATTATTGTTATTATCCAAATTATTAACTCGACTGTTAAATTTCAGTATGTATGTCTATTTTTTAAGAAGACCTGAATAGCTGAAGCACCAAAACGTGTTGAAACTTCATTACGTGAAAAGAAGCTTAGCACATACTTTGTCTATTGTAATATAAAATTCTTCATAAGTTATGACACTGTTGTTGATCTGGAATCAAGCTTCATTGTTTCCTTTTATAAGAACATGCTAATTTTAAATAGCTTTAAGTTGCAGGTGAAGTTTTATTCCACCAATATCAATATGGTTACCATCGATCATTTACTTCGGTTCTTGATTAAAGATCCTGATGGCTATGGTAAGGTTTTTCCTATGAATTTTTTATTTTCAAGATTCTTTTATGTGCACTACTGAGTCTGTTAACTTCCTAATATTAGGAGGATCTATGGAAGTTAAGGTCTTCTCTGTTGAATTAAAAACGTGTCTCACTTTAATTCAATACAAACTAAGATATGCACAGCAAATAGAACTCATGAGAAACAGTTGACATAATATTTTATTTTATTTTCATATTAATGTGCATCACTTACTCACAAATTGAATTTTCTAACTGCATATGTACATCTTTATTTTGTTTGATTATAATTTGCAGCAAATAAAGTCACTTCTTAAGTGTGTTCGGACCTCTTTCTGCCCAAATGAGAACAGTTCGTTTGGAAATGAAGCCTCTGATTCTCATTCAAGAAATGCAGATCAATCTGTAGTGTAAAAATTTTTGCAAGCACGTCCAGCAGATTATTTGACCATCATACTACAGGTGCTCTTCACTTATTCAACATATTGTTGATGTGGTAACTAGGTGGAAATTATTAAGATTAATTTAGATAGAGATATATGCATCTGATTACATATTCATTTGACAGATATTCTGTATAATTGATATTCTTATTTTGGTTTATTTAACGTCATTGGAGAATGAAAGCAACCCTCTTTTAAGCAAGTTGATGCTTTTACTAACTGCTTATAAATGATAATAGTTTAATTGTCCTTGCAAGACAACTAGAATGAGAGTTTTAACATTTTTTTGCGTCATTCCTTTTTTTCCATTGCATTAGGTTCTTAAGAACTCCATTATCTTCTAATGCAATACATCTTTCAGTTCTTTTGTAATAATAGTAATTGCAGATGATAAACATACTGTCTAACCTTTTACATAAGGAAATGGTTCGTTTGATGAGGGAAAAGTGATTTCCTGCTGCTTTTAAGTATTTCCACAACTTTCAGAAGATATACTGTGTGAAGTCATAATCTTCATTTGAAGATGCTAATTCATGTACACAGTGAATAAGTCTTTCGCCGGTAGGAGAAAAAGATGAAGTCTGCTTTTGAATTTTGTGCCTCTCATTTTTTTCCTTCAGTCAATAAAAACAAGTTTTGAGTGTTATTCTTCATTATAAAGCTTCTCTCGCCTATGTGTTCTTTATTCAAGAAGAAATTGGCATGTTTCAGGTTCAAGCTAGAAATGTGGCCACTATATCGAGGTATGTCATATTACTTCATTAGAAATCCATTTCTCTGCTTTTTTTTTTTTTGCTTATTGTCTCTTCTAATTTAAAGATGTGTCCCAACTTTCTATTTCAAGATAAATTTAATGTGTGAAAAATTGGTCACGTCTTTTTGGACAAAAAAATGCAAAACATACAGAATACAAACTCTAGAGTGAGGGAGCACGATTTCAGTTACAGCAAAGGGTTATAAACATATTTTTTCAACCATGCATTTTGAAAATGATAACACTTACTGTAATCAACTTCTAATCATTCTTGCTTTTACCATGGTTTTTTGTCGATCTAAACTTACAAAAGGCTAATAAAGAGCTGCAGAATTTCCCAAGTAATGCTGCATTGAAAACTATGAATGAAAACAACAGTGCATCTGAAAAAGATGGTTTAGCTAATGAAGACGCTAACCTGATCATTGAGTTCAAAATTATTATGCACGCTTCAGAGGCGAAATGAGTTGAATTTCTTACACATAAGTTGAATTTTCAATCTTGGATTAGGAGGACAATGATGAAGATAACTACGATGGTAAAGAGGATGATGATAGTAATGAAAAGGTGGAATCTCTTTATTCAATTTTTGTACCTCTTCAATGCCAGAACTGTGGGACTGAATTCTGTGAACCTTGATAATTATTCATCTATAGGACTAGGTTGCCATACTTGATAACAACGAAAACCAGGATGAGGAGTCTGATGGATCACTACGGGACTAGGCCAAATTGGAGATAATGCAATCTTCTCATCCTATATATTTTGCAATAACTTAACTGAGGTAACTATCTTTATCAGATTCTTTTGCTCAATGTATGGCATTAAACCGAAAAGTGAAATATGTACAACATTTTTGAGTGCATCTTTATCTTATTTTCTCTTTCATTTGAATAATTGATGCGTAAATATCTAACTTTCAGCTTTGTGCCAATTCTTGTTTTCCAATACTCTCTTCTTTGAATATATATATAGTTTTATTTCTTTGGAGGGGTGTTTGAAAGTATTAATTCTTTCATTCATGTTCAAAGTTTCTCGAGTGATTGCAATGTGTTCATGCAGTACTGCCAACAGTTAGAGCTATTGCCAGAAATCATCCCAGTGATGTTTCAGAATAAAAGAATAGCTGATTTAGCTTTTGGGGCTGCAGTAAAGGAGCTTTTCCATACTTTTTTAACCTCATATTCTTCAAAAAAATATCATTATTAGAAAATACGTTTTCCCCAAAAATGGGGCTCAAACAAGGGCTAAATATGTTGGCATACCAAATATCCTCATCAGAATTGCGTAAGGTGGTAATCATTTAGAAGAAATAAGCAAGCTGTTCAAATTGAAAGCTCAAATAATAGAAGTGAAAGGGATAATGATGGATAATATTAAGAAGGTACAACATGAGGTGTCGAAGCACAAGACCAAGAAGCCACTACAGGAGTCTTGAAAGATACCTTCCTACAAACCTATTGGTTCGCAACCTTCGGCATGATTGCAAGTTTGTTTAAATGCTTCGCAATCAAAATTCAATTGCTTTGTTTCTTGTAGTTGTTGAACTTGCAACGAGTTGCTGTCTTATTATTGATATTAGTTTAAAAGCATTGATATTTCTTCCCCAATTTAATGACTTGACTGCCATTCCTTGGAGATTTATCCTCCATATTATAAATATTTTCTTTTCTGCAGAAAGCATTAATTATTATTATTATTATTTGTTTTGGCATTTGGTTACTGCTATTTTAAGTGTATTGATCATGTATGAGTATATGAAGCTAATCTGTCCACAAGTATTTTACATGGCATACTCGCTAGATGTACAAAATTATTTCATTATACATATGCTTATTTTGATTGTGTAGATCCAATCCAATGTTCATATCAGTGTGTGGTTTTATATGTATGATCTTCTGTGACTAAAATATCACGTACCTTTGTTCATGTGTACATGAAAACCTTTATCCCTAAAAGAATCACACA